TAATATAATTAAATATTATGTTATTCACAATTATTACTAATGTGGGTGTGTCAATAACAACACAGTATAGTGAATGACAGGGACGACTACCCCATAGAACACAAAATAATAATAATAATAATAATAATAATAATAATAATAATGGAAGTTTCAGTTGAAAGAGCCACTTACAAGTTACAAGATTAAGCATTTCCTCTTTTTCGGTTGCTCTGGTGGTTCGAGAGCAGCTAGTATAGCTTCATCAAAAACATTCTTTAAGCCTTTCTGTGTCAATGCAGAGCATTCTACATACTTCACTGCACGCAATTCTCTGGCCAACTTCTCCGCAGCTTCTACACTGATCGGACGCTGCTTGGCTTTTGATAGTTTCTCGATAGTGCTTGCGTCATCTCTGAGATCTACTTGAGTCCCGACGAGTAGGAATGGGGTCTTGGGACAATGGTGAGTGATTTCAGGTACCCACTACATAATGAGAGAGAGAGAGAGAGAGAGAAAAAGAAGGAGGAAAACATAGAGAAAGGGAGAGAGAGAAGTTAGAAGTAGAGAAAGAAAGTAGGAGGAGAAAAGATCATTCATAGTGTGAGAATACCAGTACACATGATAAATGTGAATACCATATATGGACTGACAAACACAGGCGGACAGACACACACAAGATATTAACTAACTAACCTTCTCTTTCACATTCTCAAATGAAGCTGGAGATACAACAGAGAAACAAACTAAAAACACGTCAGTCTGAGGGTACGAGAGAGGTCTTAGACGATCATAATCTTCTTGACCTGTGAAGATGGGGGAGACACAAATGAATTAGGCTGTGAGTAAAAGTGGGAGGAGTGACTCACCAGCAGTATCAAAGAGGCCGAGTGTGTAGGGCTCTCCGCCAATCATGACAGTTACGGCATAGTTATCAAAAACCTACAGAGGAGAGGGTAGGGTGGAAAGAATGAAAAAGAAAGAATAGAGAAACAAGTAATATGCAATACTAGTGTCACTGCTGCTTGCTGGTGCAACAAAAGGATAAGAATAAGACTATTTATTGCCTCACTTTCTTACCGTGGGTACATATTCTTGTGGAAACTTGTTTGTAGTGTAAGAGATGAGTAGACAGGTCTTACCGACAGCCCCGTCACCGACTACCACACACTTTATGGTTTGCATGTCTCTACACTGTATCCTCTGGCTTTCCTCGGACTAAAGTAGACTTCTCTAAGAGCTAAGACCAAGTAACTTGCTTCCTTCTCAGGGCGTTTGCACAAGATGGCGTCTCCCCCAATTCCTTCCTTTATCAATAGTTTGTTACTATTTTTAGAACGCCCTATTTTTAGAACAAGTAGTGCGTGCGCATGCATTGAATGTGTATGCACGTACTAGTTATACTGTGCTATTTTTAGAACAGAATATTAATATTCATGACATGCAGTGGGATGCAGGATCAGAGTGACTTGTTTTCTCCTTGTATATTTATCCTTGTGGAGGAATCTCAACATGGTTTTAACATAGTTCTTACAGACCAAAATATAAAAACAAAAATAATTGATGATAAAAATGAAAAAAAAAGATCTACTAATTTCAAATAATTTGCTATTTCGTGGTATGTCTCTGAATCACTTTCTTCTCCGCTGGATTTCTAAATAAAAAAGAATAAAAACGATTTAGCAACTAAATATACTTACTTGCTTGAAGAGCTATTGTTACCTTCACCAAGTATTCTAGCACTATACAAAATAATAAAAGAACAGAATAAGTTAGAATTAGGGCAAGATTTTAAAGGTTTGAAAGGGAACATTTAACAGTCAAACTTTCACCAAAAAGAAAATGACACTGATACAATGGCTTTTAGATCCTAGTTGTGTGGTAGCATAAAAATGCATTGACTGTTACCATTGTAATTCATCAAACATTGAATCATTTAAATTAATCAACACATACACTTAATTGACTAGTAAACATCAAATAAGGTTAGAGTGTACGTATTAGTCTTACCGAGCACTAGCATATTCTGCCTCTCTCTCAGCTAATGACCTCTGAGATCTTTGCTCTACTGGAGCAGCTGATGAATGATTCTCATTCTCTGACGGTCTTTTAAGGATCTTTATCTAAACGAAGTGAACACACACACACTTCATAGATAGACATTTAGGGTAAATCACTTTAACATAAACACGGACTAGACATAATCTCATGATAATAACAGCTAAATGGTTTTTATCAGTACTGATTGACATACAACACGATAACAAGTGTAAGAGGAGGTAGTAGACTAGATTATGATGGCCAATAATCATGTAGAGGGCATAGTGTGGTAGAGTGGTGCTACTCATTCTGTATTAGCTGGCTATACACTACATGAGCACCAAAAGTGTAAAAAAGTGTAAAAGAGTAGTCCCTCTGCGATCCTGTTCATAATACCAGGATCATAATGAGCCAATGAAATGTGGTCAGCTGTTTAGTGTTTAACCAAACACCTCGTCAACAAGTGTAATTAGTGGCATTTGGGAGTGAATGGCTTAATAATATTGCATTTATCATCACTGATTACATTAAGGACACTAATAATCAGGAAGAGAATATTTTTCCCAATTAACAAAAATAAAAATGAATGTTAAATGCATGTATACAATACATGTACATGTATGCTATCTGTAAGGGACCGGGAATAAAGCCCTTTTATTTTCAGTTGTGACACTTTCTAGTGTCATTCACTGAATGACATCATTAGCTAATATTCAGGACAATATAAATTAAACCCTCCCGTATCTAATCAGTCATTAACCAAAACACAATCAATACAAAAAGGTCACCATGGCAACCATCTCACTTACCGGAGCGACGTATTCTGATCCTTCAGAATATTTAATTTTCATCGGACCGTCGACGAAAACTCTTTCATTGCTGACGGGAGCTTCAGGGGATGGTAAGGTCCTGCAAGGCAAGAAAAAAACAAAAAATTATTATACATAATAAAAGTACATTAAATATAAACGCACTGTTCTTGCTTTGAGAGTACCTCCTGCTGTCTTGTCGTTAGTCTCCTAATGAGGTCCTTAAGTATAAGAAATAAAAAATTCCTTTGATTATTACTGGTTTCTTACTTCTTCTTCAATATCTTCCCAACTATCGCCAACTTCCTCCTCTTCTATTTCGGCCATTAATTTGGAAACCATAGGTCACGCCCACTTTGATGTTTTTCTAATTAACGCGCACCAGAATGGAAGAATCCATGGAACCTGATGAACACCTTGAAGTTGATCCCAGTGACATAGCCAGTGATAATAATAATGATAATAATGGTCTTGAGGTGAACTCAGAGCCTACAAATAATAGTTCTATTCTTGAAGCTAATCTAGAAGAAGGAAGTGCTGAGAATCAACAAGGTACATGTACTTTAAAATTGACTTTTAAAAAATAAATTATGTTATCTATTTATTTTGTTTTTGCTTTTCTGCAGATAATGCGTCATATATCAGTAAATCCAAAGTGAGTCTTCCTCTCTCCAAAGTGAAGAGCATCATAAAATCTGATCCTGACGTAGCTATGACTGGGAGTGAAGCAGTCTACCTAATGACTAAAGTGAGTACTGAATGTACTGAATGAATGAATGATGAATTGATATTGTATAGCGGGAAATTTGGAGGGAGTTAAATTTTGTGAATTGCTAAATTTTGGTGATTGGAAATTTAGTGGCGACAAAATTATTATTTTGGCGAATGGAAATTTAGTGGCGACAAAATTATTATTTTGGCGAACGGCTATCAAAATGCCAAATTTTGCCAATAAATTTATAATTCCCTTCAAAATTGTCCACTATACGGTGATAATTGACCTTAATGGTTTCTAGGTGTGGTAAGCTAATAATTGACCACACCCATCATGAATAAATTAATTTATCTTGTTAACAGACCATTAGGTATACACTAGTTGATTTGATCTCATTATTGCACAGTATATCAAGTTCATCTCCTTCTCATGATTATACATGCATATCAGTTATACCATACTCTTATCATTGTAACTGTAGTATAGATAATGTTTCATTTTGTCTGATAATGATTCCCAGTGACTATATTATTGTATATTTGTATTGTGTGCATAATCTTGTTTTGAAAGCAGCGTCTGTTGATTTTGGTATTATTAAAATGGTAGCTTGTGTCCTTTGCTTTATAATTTGAAATTTTTTGTTGGTACATTGTCCCTTAGATAAACCAGGTAGGTTGCTTTTACTAACACTGTAACATACTTCAAAGAATGATTACACTCAAGATATACATGCTCTTATGTGGAAATTTTGAACTGATTCGAATCAAAATTGAATTTTTTAAGTTTGTGCGGAAACCAGGCCAAAACCTACGGGCTAGAGTACAGGGTATTTTGTCAGAAATGGCTTTAAGAGAATTCTCCATTTTTATAATTTTTTTCTGATACATATACATGACCTAGCTTATGTTGTGTAGAAAGTTTAAGCTCATTTATGAATTTTAAAAGTTGCTCCAATTGTATTGTAGTGCTTTTTAGCTCACTTAGCATGCTTGTGAGAAATCCAGGAGGGAATGTCTTGTTTATACATGTAGCTGGAGTAGTAGTAAAGATTGTGCCATGTAATGTATGTACATCTACTGTTACTACTGTACAGCAATAGGATGGCATATTAACTATCAATGCTAATAAAGGTGATGATAATAGAGATCACCTAGGGACTGTATGACTGTTATGACTCATTGACTATAATAGGAAGTATTTTATTAGTGATTTAACATGGCAAGAATGCGCATGTAACATAAACAGAGACAGGCTTGTTTGTTGCTACTATAGTGACATTAATTCATGCATGAGTATGCGTGTGTGAGGTGTGTGGGGAGCTGGCACGTAGCAGTAACTAAAAATGTGTCAGTGTGTCCACAAATATTTCATTCCTCCCATCAATCTGTTAATAATAAAGTGTAGCTGTAAACAATTTGAGACTACACTGTACTGTTATGTAAAACAAGAGTACACAATATGAAAGCAAATTGTGACAGTAATAATGATAATAATAATAAATAACTATTACATGTAGATAGTATCATTTACTATTCTTAATTGCATTTATGAAACCGTTTTTAGATGACTGAAATGTTTATTGGTCATATTGCCAATAAAGCTCACTATTATACTAAACTGGGGAAGAGAAAGACAGTTCAAGATAGAGACATTATTGCCTGTGTGACAAACAATGATGAGCTAGCTTTCTTAGAAGGAATACTAGAGACTGAGGCCAAATGAAACAGTTATGATTGCAGAGTATCAGTGTATAGTGTCTGTATGATTTATTATTATTATTGCTCATCATCTGATGGTTCACTTATTGTAATAATAATCCTCTATACTTTGCTATTAGTTTTATTCATCCATTCTATCTATTAAATTTGTCATAGTGTTACACTGCCTTAAATGTCAAAGATATAGTACATGTACAAATGAGCATCCTTTTTAGTGGTTCAATCATTGCGCTAATGTGTTTTCATAACATGTTCTAAGTCAATTCCTGGGTTATTGGTCAATTTGTATGAACAAGGATCAATGTCACGTGTGCTTTGATGTCATTTCATACTGTTACAGTTTATAAAGTACATTGCTAATATTCATGTTTACACATTATAAAAGTGTACATGTACATGTACTGTAACACTATCAATGTTACTGTTTGATTGATGATTTTAACGAGACACTTTTGGAATGTGGAATGGAGAGTAGTCGAGAGTTGTGCCAACCTGAGAGACAATGCTAAGGAGAAAAAAAAATTATTATTTTATTTTATTTACTAGTGATTAAATAGCAATCATAATATGTGACCATAATTGACAAAAGGTACCTTATGGCGGATAGGAAAATTGGTCTTTATAGCCTAAAAAATCCAACTTCCTGAGCTCCATTTATCATAAAATTACTCCAGAGGATGCAAAAAGTTACTATGTAGCTTATAGAAACAATTGTTGACTAACAGAGCACTCACAGGTTGATATTTTTCATTATAAAGATGAATTTTAAAATCCGCCATAAGGTACCTTTTGTCAATTATGGTCACATATTATGAATACCTGTGATAGTCCTAATGAATCTGAAGGATTGAAACTAACTCTACGATGAGGTCTTGACTTGTATTGAACTTGTAATAAATCATGAGGTACACTCACCCTATGGAATAGAATTATAATAGATATAATATACCTTAATCCTACTATTTTTAGCGTCTACTAAATTTAGCTATATTAGCGAGAGAGCTTGAAATCGCTAAATTAAATAGATGCCACAATAATTATTATTCATTATAATGGTTATTATTTATAGTTAATTTGGTTAAAAACGCTAAAATTAGTAACGCTAAACATGACTTTTGCTGATTTCGTTAAAATTAGTAGACGCAAATAATAGTAGGCTTAAGGTAATAATTTTCTTACATGAAAAGTGCACATACATTATTTTAAAAATAAAGGCGGGCATATAAAATACATATAAATTTATTGTAAAAATTAATACTTACTGTACTAGACTAGGAGATTTGGTTGATGTGTTTGGATGGATCAAGTCTTCACAAACAGGACAGCGTGTTTCATTATTACAAGTGCAATTGATGGGCACAGGAAATAATCTATCACCAAGTGAATAGCTATGAATGTAATCTAAAAGAAAAAAGAGGATAATAATAATGTTAGTAAGACCCTCTACTATAGTACAGGGACTTTGGCCTGATTTTTAAATAACTTCAAAAATTCATTTAAAAAATTCAATTTTGATCGGAATGAGCTCAAACTCGATACACAACATAAGAACATGTATAATGCATCAGAAAACATATAAAAATGTAGAATTCTTTCCAAGCCATCTTTGGCAGAATATGGCCAAAGATTGAATTTGCATGAGCACTAAGCAATTATGTTAAAATCCTGTGAGAAACCCAGTTCTTACCATTATTAGTTTTGTTGGGATGTGAGTCTTCATCGCTTATATCTGAATCATTGATATCATTTGGTTCAGCATGTCTTGATAAACTGAGAGAAAAATCATAATTAAAAAACACCATAATATGATAATATGTAGATCTATGCAAGTATGCATACAGCATTATCATGACTACAGTAATATCATATTTATTTTAGTATCCTATTTATTTTATTCTATGTGTAGTATATCTCTCACTGTTCTTGTGGCATGTAGCATTCCGAATGATTGACTTGTCTGAACTCCTTCAGTTCCTGTAGCCATGTTGTACTGAACTGTGAAACTGATTGTCCAGTTGTATCCAGTAGACCAGCGACCCAGTCGTAGCCAGGGACCACTCTAGCATCACCGCTTGACCTACAGATGTACATGTAGTCATGTACAGCATGTATTGGAAGATTTGTCTCACATACTTTCTTGGCGTCTTCCATGTTCTACGACTCTCATTCAATCTCTGATCTAATGCACCATAACGGCTATCTGTACATGCATAATTAACATGACATACATTTAAAAGGTGTGCTTGTGGGTACTTCACTTGCCATTAATAATTTTTGGTCTTCTGTCTCTCTCTTGCTGAGGTGCCTGGCTATCAGTGATTTGTGACTTTTCTCTATTTTTCCTTTTTTTAAGATTCTGAATGTCTTCGTGCAGCTCTTTCTGTCCTTCTAGTAATCTTTCTATGAGTGAAATCACTGCTGACATAATTCAACCTGACTATTCAGTGTTTGATGGTTTGACTTTTGTTTTGAATTTTGAGGCATAGATATTGAGTCACGTGATCATTTCAGTCACGCCCATTTTTGGCACGCCCATCTTGGCATGGTATATTACATGCAGAATGAAACTACTCCAGTACGCAAACCAGTAAGACCATATTCTTTATGTTCTTAACTTCTTTGCTGTTTTTCAGTGACAGTGTTTGACCAGTGAATTTGGCGTTCCATAGTTCATGGCGGACTGGCATAGGTCCATACAAGCAAAAGATGAGGTAAGTAACCTGTAACCTTATAAGATCAGAGACATAAACTCAAAAACTGAAGCCCCCAGGTAATCTGTGGTTACTTTGATGTTTTAAGCAGTTGACCAGAATAAAACAGCTAGTCTAAATAACCAAAGAATAGAATTCTCTGGGAGCTTTAAGAAATAATTGTATTTGTAATGAGAGAAAAAGAGAGGAATATTTATATTTTATATTACTATACAGAGTCGTAGCTCACTTGTAGCATCGTCTCCCAGCACAATCAGCTCAACACACAGCACAATTGATGGCCCAGAACCTTTTGCAGTTTCTCCTACCTATTTTAAAGGTGTAATTATGGAAAGGGAGGTGTCATTGGCCGTTTTTCTGCTAATTGTAAATGGTTTGCCACTCTGTCAAAAATCTGAAGTCATCAGGGGCTTCCTTTCAGGTTACTATGTTGATGAAGAAATGCCAAAACATGGTCTGTCTTTTTATGAATTTGCTTCTGCTGAGTACGTTAAGTCTGGTCAATTTTATAAGCCAGGGCTAAGATCTGCAAGAACGTCAGCAGAAGATTGTTACCTGCGCGCTATGAATGCTGGAATGAATCAAGTTCAAGCTGGCACAAAAACGTATGAAGGAGATGAAGGTGGTCTACCTGAACATTTAAAGTTCAAAAATGATGAACTCAATTCTTGTTTTCATGAAACATTTTTAGCACTTAAAAGCAAAAATAAAAAATCAAGTAGCACATGGGGTAATCAAGGTTTTGTATTGTTTAATTTATGGGATATTGGTCACAGTCGTACAGTGTATCACTTCCTTCCTGCTTTACATGGTCATCTTTGTCATAGCTATTCATGGCTATTTTTTGATTTACACCGCGACTCTCAAAATTTATACAAGCGGTTTCAGTCGAAAGAGAATCTCATGAATTATCGACCACGTATTCACTATTTAATTCGCTCTGCTAAATTAAATTTAGCAGCTGAGAAAAAAGCTTGCTCTATGTTTGCTATAAGTCACGTTGATCCCAAAGTTGATGATAAAGTCTTACAGTCAGTTAAACGAGACTTTGAGAGTACTGCAGCACAAATTGGTGTCAGTGATATAATTGATTTTGATGTGAAGCCTTTACAGCCAGGCCATAATTGCAAGCAAGTCATTCAGGAGAAGATGGATGCTCTAATTTCTCAAGAACTCAGAAGCAAATTTAATGTGCCTTTTTCATTTATTTTTCTTCGCAGTATATACTACCAGAATGATAAAATTGTACACGTTAAAAAAACAGCAATCCAAGAGCTGGCTAAAGAGTTGAATATTGTCGGTGATAAGTTTTTCGAGTTTTGTAAGTTTTTTTCTTCGTGTGGTAGCATCATTGATGTTTCACTGATTGATCCGAAATCAGAGTACATCATAATGAAGCCAAGCAAATTCCTTGAAGAAATAGATAAACTATTTCATACCGATGATCAAATGTTAGCTGACAAAGGAATTCTTACACTTGTTACTGCAGAGAGGTTATTTAATGGTCAATCTCATGCTGATGCCTACACAAAAATTCTTGTTTCTCTTAGTTTAGCCATTGAATTAGAGGAAGATCAAATCAAAATGGTTTCACATCGCGGCACTGGTAACAACAAAGTTTGGTATCTTCCAGACATTCGCTGTACTCCACCATGTCTTGACACAACTGAATTGAGAACAAATGCTCTTCGATTGCTACGAAGTTACAATTCATCGCTTGGTCATTTGCAAACATCTTTTGTCACACACTTTCTCAAGATTAATAAAAAGTCAAAAGTGTGTGTTGAGGATGAAACTCCAACCAATGTCACAAGAATAGAAGCATTTGATAAAAATGAGGAGTCCGTTATTTTTGAGGTCATATATTTTGGATTTAATCTAGAGTTTCGTATTCCAGTAGCGAATAAGGAAGTTTTCTCTCAAATAATCGGAACCTGTCACAAAATAATGGAACTAGATGTCAAAACGAACTATAATTTTGCTGTATTATGCTCCAAAGACCCCAGTAGTACTGATCCAAAGTATGAGCTAACGAGAGATCGCCACCTTCTGCCTTTCGACATTAGATCGTGTGATGAGTGCAAAAAGAATAAGCATGATGAAGATTCATTATTTTTAATGTGGGATGAAGTTGTAACAGTAAGTCAAATGCTCTTTGCATTTTCTTTATATAATTTTAGAATGATCCTGTGAAAGAAGGAAGAAAACTTAATGGAGGTATGATGTCCGTAATTATTATTATTATCCATGGCCGAAGCCACAAAATTAAAAGTGGTTCGGCCAAAATTCTGTATTTAACAAACAATAAATTGGCAATAGCAAATAATAAGGAATGAGAGAAAGAATGCAAGCAACATAATCATAAAGACAATGTTCAAAATTTACAGCTGTAGCTAACTACAGTTTACAGTCCATGGCTTTAGTGCAAATTAGTGGCACATTCACTATACTAAATACCAAATTTATTAATGTAATCAATAATTTTTATTAATGTTAATTAATCATGACAGACCACACCGATTACTTTTTTGGCTAGCTGAAAAAGTGGTACGGCCAAAACCTTACTGGCCTTACCGGTGGCTCCGGCCATGTTATTATCATGTCAACAGCTAAAGAATTAAAAGTGAAAGATAACTAAAATCAACAATAACTATCATGAATACAAAAACAGCAACAATTAATAAGTACACAAAGGGCAATAAAATGAAAACACATATAGTTTGCCCATTGTTTGAAATCAGTAGATCTACACAAGCACCACGATGGTGATGTACAACTTTATTATTTTTTAACACCTACACAAATGCAATAGTTTTAATACCAAGCAAATCAATTGAATATGCAGTACTGAGAGTCTGATACTATTGAGTAGTGTAGCCATAAAAATTTTATGTGCATTCATTTTAATGATAGATACGATTCTCTTGGATGATGCTACTAACATTGCTACAAACCTTCAAGGACTGAACCACAGCACCATTAATGTGCTTGCTCGAAAGTTGGACATTAGCCTGGATGAAAATACAGCTCGTCTTTCTAGCTGGAGGTTACCAATGGCAATATTGGTTGAATGTGAAAAAAAGTATCCAGAAGCTATTTCGAAAAGACATTTTGCTCGACAATTAGCAGAAGCGGCAAATGAGATCCATTTAGAAAAAGACAAGGAGTTGTTATACAATGCCGTTAATTTACTTGATAATGAAAGTGAGCCACCCAATGAAATTATAATGCATTGCATTACAATAAAATATTTCTGTAGTTCTAAAAGATCTTAAAGTCCTAACTGAGGATAGAAAGAAAAGCATTAATGAAGAAATATTTGATCCTTTTGAAGTTTAACGACATTGGCAGCTGTGCATAAGCTTTTGATGCACATTATACATAAGACACACTTGCTCTTTATAACATTCACCCTTGTTTCTTTAAAACTCTTACTTAATTTTTTATAGATCACTTTTTATTAATAATTATATTAATTATTTTTTATTATAATATTATTATTTTTTATAATTATTTTTGTTTCTATGGTTAATTTACTCTAATATCTATTATGCATGATTAATGAAAGCCACGCCTATAGCATAAAATTATCACCCGATGCGTACGGGAAATAACGTCATAATAATATTGTAAGACCTATTGAAATATTCGTGAAATATAGTTGTACAACTGCTCGTGAGTGCTTCATGAGGTAGCATAATACTCTATGGTATATAGGGTACCCATGGCAACTAGATTCCAGCAACACCACCACATCTTGAAGGCAAGATGGAGGATATCTGTATTCTGTACTGCACCTCCTGGGTCTATACTCCACTACTGTGGCGTCAGCGGCACAGCTACTAGTGTTGAGCTTACTATTTAGGTAAGTTGAGGTTTTAAAGTAGCTTTACAAACAATTATTGCATGTAGTTGGCGAGACATTATTATGTAATATATATATATATATATAATACATATTCATATGCTATTTACATAATGCTGGTAGTTGTAACTTTTATTTTGCTAATATGAAAAATTAGTTATGCTACAAATTGTGTAGTCTGCCCTAGTCTCGCTGCCTGCAGTCATTG